GACTGTAGACAGGTGCAAGAACTGATTAACAGCCCAAATGTAAGGTTTGGGAAAGCTCTCATCTCCCTGTCAAGGAAAACTAAGTACACTGGTTGGAGTCCTAACTTGGCACAAGCTGCTCAACCACCACAAAATGGTGATGGGACTCCATGACAATGGTCTGTGTGGTGCCTGTGGCATTGAATTARAGACATCTTTGCACTACTTAGACCACTGATTGGCTCTGAGCAGTTGAAGGAAAATAATTTTTGGAGACCCCTTTATGGATCCTGAGAAGCTCAGAACACTGAGTGTTTCTAACCTTGTGTCCTTCATCCAAGGGACACAAAGGTCTGAATGAAGACCAGTGTCGTTTTGGGGAGAGCAATGGACTCACTTAGGAGGCCCCCGCCCAGATGGGTTCTTCAGCTGTAATGAGGACAAGCAACTCTGTGGGATGTTCCTCATATACAGGCATTAAGACCAACCAAGAACATGAAAATACAAAAACTGGTGACCCAACAACRGGGTCATGGGAAGATGAGGGTCCATGATGGTCATGGGGAGTGAAGGCTGGCCTGTAATATCTTATTCAWTGGAAGAGCTGTAGCTGGGATGACAGTTACTGCTGGTTGGCAGAACCTGAGAAGTGAAGAATAATCCATTTGTACAACTTTGACTGCTGAGAGGCATGTCCACAGCAGTCTACACCCACTTGGTCCTTTTACAGATCATATCAAAATGCCCAGAAGGCATTTCAGTCCTACATGATAGACCTAAACTGGGAACCCAAAACCAACAGAAACCTTGGAACCCACATTTCTTCTAGAYAGTCCAGAGTTCTAACATCTTCTKGGTTCTCACCAGGCTGAGCCCACCCAAAGATCAAACCATTCAATTGGTAGAACACATACCCAGCTCCCAGATTTATGCTGCCATTCARTCAGACGTGTAGTTGGGATGGAGCAGAGTAAGGTCTGGTTTGTACAGCCCACTGCCGAGAATGAATGCTTTTTCGCTAACATTTAAATTAACTAATAACTGGCTCATTGCACGATGTGGCTACTTGACTTYCACTAATTGGAAATTGTGAGGACCAGTACTTCCTGTTTGGTTGTTTACCACAGAGAGCAATGACATTGTTTTACACCCGCCGCCTTCAGGACCGGCCAAAAGTCAGCGAAGTTCTCTGCTTGATTCGAGTCTTGACATCAACTCCACATTGTAAAAAAGAAAAGGGCTTCAAATTTTACAAGTCGAATTACATTGACAACTATGAAGTTAAGAATTAAATACATCCAGTCACTGTTTGGCTAACTAGCTTTAGCTTGTATCTACTTTATGACAACTGGAGTCTCACTTTCTTCAACCCCAGAGTTGTAGTTTCAGATTTMTTTCTTACCCTTTTTATTTACCACAGTGTCCAACWAARWCTCATCAGGGAGAGTGAGCATCAGGGCCTCATGAACTCGATCCATGCGAAAGTCTGAGAAACCTCATGAACTCAGAGTAGGAACAACAAGAAATGTTGATCGGTTCCACTAAGAGATGACTATATTTTGGGGTTCTCATGTCACTGATGTTTAGGTTAAATAGAAGGTATTTCTAGTTGTTGAAAAAAGTGATGGAGTTGGAGGAGATATCTAGCTTTAGCATTAGCTAGCATGTGAATTGCATTTAGTCTCCAATTGCTTCTGTTGTTTGTGAGTGTATTGTTCAGCCCTGTTTTACATTGTTAGAGCTACAGCCRGTTTAAAGGCCTGTTTTGTTCTCTTTGGCTATGTTTTTCTTTGTTTTGTTTAAAGATTGAACACAGTTCAAAACAGGTTCCTGTAAGAGTGATCGCTGTTGTTTTCAGCCATTGCTGGCGCACTATATTATCAGCACGGTAGCTATGAAAGTTAAGTTACAGCGTGAAGAACACGAACATCAAGGTACACAATAGTGTAGCAATGATCCTCTCACTAACTGATAGCACAATCTCTTCCTCTGGACACTTGACATGTTCATTTTTTTTTTCACTAGCTGTGTTTCCATTGCAAACGTGCGCAAAACTTTGTCGATTTTCTGTTATAGTCGAAAAACACAGTTTCGCAACGGCGGTGTTTCCATTAAGTAAGAAATGTTATTAAAGTCACGTG